CTTCAGTATCTGAGGAGTCATGAATGGTGCTGAACATTGCACAATCACCAGTGAACATCCCCACCTTCTGATGAAGGGTCTAGGCCCGAAACGTCAGCCTTTCTGCTTCTATGATGCTGCTTGGCCTGCTGTGTTCATCCAGCTCTGCACCTTATCGTCATCAGAGCCAGGTCATTCAGGAGAGAATGTGAGAAAGACTTCCTCGCGAGCAAAATGATGCAAGTGTGAACTCTCTCCCACACATCGACAGTGTCAATAAGAATAAACTTTGCCCCTTTAGAGGGGTCATGGATTTAAGATGAAGAGCAGGAGGTTTACAGGGGATTTAATGAGAATTTCCTTCACCAAGAGGACAGTGGGTATCTGGAACTCTGCCTGAAAAGATGGTAGAGGCGGGAGCCTTCGTAACATTTAAGAAGTATTTAGATGAAGATTTGAAATGCCATGGCATGGTATAGCATGAAAGGCTATGGATCAAATGCCGGGAAATTGATGAGAGTAGATAGGTGCTTGACAACCAGTGTGGACTGAATGGCCCAAAAGACCTCCTTTCCATGCTGTAATACTTCATGATTGTATAAGCACTGATTATTAATGCTTTTTAATCTTGCATCATCACAGTGGTGAGATTTGAGCCTATATTAACTATTCTCTGTTTTTCTAACTCCAGTGGGAATGCTGTGGTGCCCATAATGCTGATGATTGGAATCTGAATATTTACTTCAATTGTACAGACAACAATACAAGTCGGGAGCGATGTGGAGTGCCCTTTTCCTGCTGTACCAAGGATCCCACGGTGAGGCAGCAATAGTAAATTACCCTTCTTACAGTAGCAAGGATTGTGGATTATATTTATCCCTAACTGACATCACTAAAAGTGATTATCTGATCGTCATCGCATTGCTGTTTGCGGGATCTTGCTGTATGCAAATTGTCTGGCACAATTCCTACTTTGCAACAATGACTTGCATTAAAATACTCTGTTGGCCGTAAAGAGTTTTGGGAAATCCTGAGGTCATGAAAGGTGCCGTAGAAAAGTAAATTTTTATTCCTACAAATTCATCATTAGGTGGTTAAATGGGTGAAAATATCACGCCCCCTCTACCAACAGTGAGAAGTGGTCTATAATGTGTTTGTTTATATTGTTATAATCCAGCTGATGTTAATATTGGAGGACAAGTTTGACCCAGGATTTGAAATCTTGCTTGATAGACCCTAACCTTGTTTTCTTCCCCAACTGTGGAGGTCAGTCACTGAAAACATATACAAGAGTTACCAGTATGCATTAAGGTAAATAATAAAATTTCAATTAAACAAGAAAAACATGAACTATATTACACTAGACAAAAGATTGGAAAATTTTAATTGCAAACACCAGAAATGGATTGAAACTCCCATTATACCAATTATCCCATCAATATCCTTACAAACTCCCAAACCCAAGGGAATAGTTACCACGGTTGCAATATCGAGGCCCCTTACTCAGGTGAACCCAACTGCAACCAGTTTCCTTCGAGTGTGTTTTTGTGTTTTTCTGGATGCATTTTTTTCTTCAGCTAGTATCTCTCCCTGGGACACCTAAACAAACAAAACCTACTATTACTTTAACTTTGAAACAAACACAAGCTCCATAAACACAGTTTCCAGCACTTTTGCTAGATTTTTTTACAAGAGCGTTTTAACGCTTTAGCTTTCACTCTCTGACGCACACTCACAGAAGCAGACCGATCCTCCTCTGAATTGTTCTGTGCCTGGATCCCTATTGCTAGGTAATAGCACAGTTTTCTGTTCACCTGTGTTTAAGTGCATTGACCAACAAACACTCGTTCTTTCACTGCGCAGGTTGTAAAAGCTCAATAAAGGTGCATTAAAACAAACAGATCCCCAGAGTCCTCTTCAGCAAGCTCCAAAGAACGTCTCTTTCAAAACAAAACTAAAAACTGTCTCCCCTTTATAACATAAAATATACAAAATTAAAATTGAACTTAAAACCTAATGTATGATTTTATTATGTTAGCAGAAACTTAATCCACATGGGTCGCTACTGTTTGCTAAGAGTTAATGTTTCAATATTATCGTTTTTTTTCCAGGAGGATGTCATTAACACTCAGTGTGGTTATGATGTGAGACTGAAAGTGGTAAGTCTGAAGAACCAACAATTAAAGGGAACTTGATGCTAAAAAAAAATAAGCTTTTAAATTTAATTTTGGCTTTCTCTGCCTCTGATATATTTAGTGTTGTAGGTGTTTGATTGGCTGTAAACAGTGACACCCTAATTCTGTGCCAGTGAAGAGATGGTGAGGTCATGCCCACTGGCCGAGGTTGATGGGGATTGATTTTTCAGCACATTATTACCAGCATATAACTATTCCCTATTCATTGCATTTTGCTGGACAGATAACTTTACTTTTATGGAGTTACTGTAGTTTCAGCAGTGAGTTCTGTTTGCTATAGGTGACAGGCCCTCTGTTTAAGCAGATTAACATAGAACATAGAACAGTACAGCACAGTTCAGGCCCTTCGGCCCACGATGTTGTGCCGAATTCTGTAGACTGTTTGCTGTTGTACACTGTTTAGATAAACTCTGCTCAGTGAATAGACACTGCTTGCTCTGAATCCTGCCATCCGTCCCAATCCACTTCCAATTCGTTATTGACATCACTGTGTCAATCTAAAGATTCTGTGGTGCATGAAGTAAAATTCAATCCACCTCACCCCTTTCTTCAATATCCTCCCGTATTCAAAATGTGCCCTTTTTGGAAGACCTCTCATTAACTGAACATATTTTTGTTCAAACTGAAGAAGAGCTAAAGCTTCCTACCTTCTAGGAAGAAAGATCTATATTTCAGTAGCACCTTTCACACCCATAGAGAATATTATGAAGTACTTACAGCCCATGAAGTCCTTTTGAGTTGTGTGTGATTCACTGTTGCAATGTAGAAAGCATGATAGCCAATCTGTGCACAGCAATAGCAATGATCAGATTATCTGTTTTTGTGAGAATATTTGAGGGATGAATGTTGGCCAAGGCACTGACAAGAGTTTCCTTGCTCCTCTTCAAAATCGTGCCAAGGGGTCACTTGCATTTGCTGAAGGGGTCAGTCAGGGCCCTGCTGGAACATCCTGTGTGAATGGCATCTCCGACAGTGTTGTGCTCCCTCAGTACTACACTGGGCTGGCCCTCTGTCTCAAGTGGGGCTTTAACCCCATAGTCTTTGACTCAGAACCAAGCATGTTTCTCTGAGTGAGATTTGCCGTCACTTCCTTGCTCTGATCAGTTAGGATCATAGGCACAGGAAGAGCCCACAGTGTTCTGCCATTTGGCAAAGCTTATGACTGATATGCAACTTAATTAATTAGAAACACAAGCAGAATCCTGGAGAAACTCATCTGGCAGCGTCTGTGGAGTGAGAAAAACAAAGTTAAAGTTTCAAGTTCAGTGACTCTTGTTCAGAACTGATAGTAGCAAGGAAGAGGAGGTATATATGCTGAAGACAGGGGAGGTGGGGAGGAAAAGGCGTGAGCAGATAGGTGGAGATGGAGCCCAGCCAGAGAGAAAGAGAGTTAGGTAGACTAAGGGATGGTTAATGGTAAGTCAGGGAAGGAATAAAGCTGATAATGGGGACAATGAGTAGGTGAGAATGGGTTGACTGTGCTGAAAGTTGCCCATGTGATGACAGGGCCTGGGGCATGGGGCCAAGGGTAAGGAGATGGAAGAAGGTGTTCAGGTTCCAAAATTATTGAACTCTATACTGAGAACTGAAGGCTGCAGGGTCCCCAAGCGGAAAATGAGGTGTTGTTCTTCCAGCTTGCGTTGAGCTTCACTGGAGCACTGCAGCAAGCCTGAGACTGAGATGTTGGCCAGGGAACACGGTGGTATGTTGAAGTGGCATGCAACTGGATGTTTGGGGCCATTGCAGACAGAATGTAGGTGTTCCACAAAGCGGTCACCCAATCCGCATTTCATCACCTCAGTGTGGTAGAGAGGAGACAACTGCTCACACTCTTCCTGCCTCCCAACCCCCACCCCCATCTTCAGCATAGACACCGCCTTTTCCTCGCTACTATCAGTTCTTACGAAGGGTCGCAGGACTTGAAATCTTAACTGTTTCTCTCTGCCCAGACGCTGCCAGACCTGCTGAGTTTCTCCAGCGATTTCTGTTTTTGCTTCAGATCTTCAGCATCTGCAGTTCTTAGTTTCTTTAGCTTGATCAGTGATGTATACATGTTTTGGATTAGTATTATAAAGAAGTGCTTCAACCTGAATGTAGCGAGAACAAAGCAGTCTTGGGATCATTATATCTAAATGTTGGTCCCACAGACTTTTCTCTGGGATTTTATGCTACTGATCCAAACGTGGAATTCACTTAAATTACATTTGTTTCAATTACAGGTGACTGAACAACAGAATTATATTTACACTAAAGGTTGTGTGGGACAGTTTGAGAAATGGCTGCAGGAAAATCTGACTGTGGTCGCAGGAATATTTATTGGAATTGCATTGTTGCAGGTGAGAATTATTGTGACATTTGTATTGCCTTGTGCTTCATTTGTGTTTGAGTACTTCCATGGCCTCATTCCCTCCCTATCTCTGGAATCTCCTCCAGGTCCATAACCCTCAGCAACCTCCACTTCTCACCTACTGCATCTGTTAGGTTTCGTTACTGCACCTTTGGTGGTTGTGCTTTCAGCTACCTGGATCTCCCAAGCGCTCGAACTCACTCCTAAAACCTCACCAACTCCCTACAACTCTCTCTGCCCCCTTTGGACAGTCTCTCTTTGATCAAGGATCTGGTCACCATTCTTAATGTCGTTTCTTACAGGATGTGGGCATCACTGGCAAGGCCACAATTTATTGCCCATCCCCAATTGCCCTTGAATGTCTTGCTCAGCTATTTTAGAGGACAGTTAAGAGTCAACCACATTGCTGTGAGTCTGGAGTTACGTGTAGGCCAGACGGGGTAAAGATGGTGGATTTCCTTCCCTAAAGGGAATTAGTGAACTAGATGAATTTGTTTTTAATTGATTACGTTGTAGATGGAGATTGACTTGCCTGTTATAAAAGGATTGAGAAAAAGAAGACACCGATTTACAAATTTGCAATAGAAGCAAATTGTTTTCATTCACAAAATATGACTGTCACTGGGTAGCCTCAGCATTTATTGCCCATCCCTAATTGCCCAGAGGGCAGTTAAGACTCAACCACATCGCTGTGGGCCTGGAGTCACATGCAGGTCAGATCAGGTAAGTACCTTAGGAAAAACACATCCGGTTTACTACAATTGATAATGGTTTCATGGACTCTAAGAAAGAGTTCATTCGTATTGAATTCATAATTAAACTTCCTTCACCACAAATTCCACCATCTGCTATGGTGGGATTTGAACCCAGGTCCACAGAACATTATCTGCCTCTGGATTAATAGTCTAGCGATAATACCACTAGGCCATTGCCTACTCTAGAGTTGGGACGAAGTGTTTTCACTCAGCAAGTGGTTAGGGTCTGGAATGCGCTGCCTGGAAATGCGTTGAAGGGGGTTTAATTCAGGCATTCAGGAGGGTATTGGATGATAATTGAAATAGAAACAATGTTGAGGGGAAAATGTTGTGGGGAAAAGGCAGCAGAATGAGATTCTTCACAGAGCTGGTGCAGACATGATGGGCTGAATGGCCTCTATCTGAGCCATGCAAATTCTGTGACATGCTTGCCATTAGTCTAGCTTTCTAATTCCATGTTTTTATTCAATTACATTTCACCACCTCTTGTGGTGGGATTCAAGCACAGACTCCCAGAACATTAGCCTGTGGCTGTAGATTACTAGCCCAGAGAAAATCTCCATTCCACCACTGCTCCCTTTGCCAAGTGTTATTTACTGATCCCTGCTGGGAAATACCTAGAGCTGTTTTGGTGCATTAAACATGTGGTGAAGGTACAAGTTTGCCTTGATGCTCAGGGTGGTTTCTCTGGGAAAGGAAGATGATGTGCTGTTGTAACATCGTTCCCGCTGGCATCTTCTCGAAGGTCAGTTTTACCAGGCATTGAGAGAAAAACATCCACTCCTCGGAGACTGGGTGGTGCTGTGGAAAGCAATGTTTTTGTTTCTGCTCTGAAACTTGGGCCTGATCCAACTTGGCCCGTTGGCAGCAGCGTATTCTCACTAATACAGCACAAGATCCATTTGATACTAGCTCCAAGTCCTCCGGGACAAGATTGAGCAATATCCAGTGTTTTCTCACTGAAAGGCCTTGAGAAAGGCGATTGTGCAAAGTGGAAATACAAACACTGGCATTTTCAGCTTTACAGAGTCACAGAATGGAAGGAGACCATTCAGCCCATTTTTTATTTAGAAAACATCATCACGGAATGAGGGTGTCACTGGCTAGGCCAGGATTTATTGCCCATCCCTAATTGCCCAGAGGCAATGTCAACCACATTGCTGCAGGTCTGGAGTCACATGTAGGCCCAACCAAGTAAGGGTGGCAGTTTGATTCCATAAAGGACACTAGTGAACCATTACCAACAATGGACAGTGGATTCACGGTCTTCGTTAGACTCCTAATTGGGATTTTTATTGAATTCAAATTCCACACCTGCTGTGGTGAGATTTGAACCCAGGGCCCCAGAACATTATCTGGATTAACTGTTCAGAGATGATGCCACTGGGCCATTGCCTCCCCTGACCTTCTGCTCTGCGCCGGTTCTCTGAATGAGCAGTCCTCATGGTGCCTAAACATGCACACACGCGCACTCACAAACACCCACCGTCTCCTCATAATCCTGCATGTTCTTCCATCTCCGGACAACGATCCGGTTCCTCCTGGAAAGCCTGAATTGATCCTGCCTCCAAGACGCATTTGGACAGTGCATTCCAGACCACTTACTGCTTTAGAGTGTTTTTCTTAGTCCTGTTGCTGCTTTTGCCAATTACCTAAAACTTGTCCCCGGCCTTGTTCCCAATCCTTTTACCAACGCTGATGGCTTCTCCCTGCCTGCTCTGTTGAGACCTCTCAAAGAGAAACAACCTCAGTTTCTCTGATCGACCTATGTAGCTGACGATGCTTATCCCTGAACCCGTTCTCATGAACCTGTTTGCGCTCTGTCTTGTGCCTTCACAGCTTAGCTCTGATCATCCGACTACGCGCACCTCTAATTGTCTCTAAGGTGTCAGTTTACTTCCCCTTAATTATTAAACTGTGGACAAAAATGCAAAGGGGTACAAAGTTGATTTTTCTTGAGTCTGCGCTTCTTTATAGTAAAGGCCTAATGAGGGAGTATATAAGTTGAGTAAAGGATGAAATGTCCACATCCTGTCTTATTGATATCACATCTCTGAGTCAGAATGCGGTATGTTTAAGGCTGACCATCAACAGTGCAGATCATAACCTTCAGCCGATGCCCGTTTTCAATACTCAAGGGAAATAGTGCACTGTTAGAGGGTGCTGTCTTTTGAATGAGGCACTAAATTGAGCCCCTTGTCTGGCCTGTCGGGTAAATGTTACAGGTGTGTGTGTATGAGACCAATGTTAAAGATAGGTGCTGCTTTTGAAGATGGCCACCTTGATCCATCTTTGCTTGCCCAGATACAGCTGCAAGCAGTTCCAGCAACATATGATGAGAGCAGGAAGAGAGAGTTGATGAGCATTTTGTATGTCAAGCCATAGTTATATTTTATAATGAATTCTGTAAAGCGATGAAGACGTGGTCGAGCATATATTGTTTATTGTTCCTGAAATTGACGAGGCTGAATTTCAGATATTAGTGTGTTTAACACTTGGTTGAAGCACATGTTATTGGTAAGTTGTCACTGCAGCTGGTAATTTTCTTCATGGATCTTATCAGGAATGAGCAATCATTTTCCTGTTAGCTAGATTCCCTTTTATTTGGAAGGTATTGTCACTAGTCGTACATCAAACTAGAAACAACACTAATCCCAAGTATGGAGGGACTGTCTTATGAGGAGAGATTGAGTAGGTTGGGCCTGTACTCATTGGAATGTAGAAGAATGAGAGGCGATCTTCTTGAAATATATAATATTCTTAGGGGGCTTGAGAAGGTAGATATGGAGAGGTTGTTTCCCCTTCTGGGAGAGTTGTACCAGACGGCATCATCTCAGAGTAAGGGGACACACGTTTAAGGCAGAGATGAGGAGGAATTTCTTCTCTCAAAGGGTAGTGAATCTGTGGAATTCTTTACCACAGAGAGCTGTTGTGTGGCTGAATCGTTAAAAGAAAAGGCCGAGATAGCTGGATTTTTAATGAGAAGGGGAATCAGGATGTTGAGGAAAAGACAGGAAAGTGGAATTGAGGATTCGGATTAGCCATGATCTCATTGAATGGTGGAGCAGACTTGATGGACTGAATGGCCTATTCCTGCTCATTATGCCCTTATTGCAGTTTTACATGTGTGCATGTTGCTCCACCTAGTGGCGACATTGTCCACAAATGCAGCCAAATGTAGAAGGACCCATGGCAACTATTTTATAGAAAAGGGGAGTTCTCCCCTGTCCTGGACAATATTTATACCTCAAAAAAAAACCCCGCTTATCTGATCATTATAGCATTATATTTCGTGGGAGCTTGCTGTGACTGTATGTCAAACGTACTTGTCTGACAGTATAGTGCTGTAAGATATCTTGAGGTTGTGAAACGTGCAAAAAGAATGTATCTGCACCTTTAGCCTGTTGTCTGACTTAAAGTATTAGGCCAAGAGATTACAGGGAGAATTAATGGGGTTGCTTTTTACAACGAAGTATGTGGGGTAATGACCTAGATTTCTCAGGGGTGCTTGATGTGGAGATGTTCAAAGAATTCTAAAGGAAATCTGATAGACACTTGAGGGAATAAAGTTGCATGACCATGGAGATAGAGTGGGCAGATGGGCTGTACAGAGAGATGTCAGGAATTCAATTGGCTGAATAGACTTTTCTGTCCCATTCTGCTCTTGTATTCAGTGCCTTGACTAATGAAGGCAAGTATCCCATATGTCATCTTAACCACCTGTCCTAGTCTTCAAGGATCTTGTGCACATACACACCAAGGTCCTTCTGATTCTCTGTACTTCCTAGAGTCACCTCCATTCATCAGAATACTGTTTTCTTCCTTTCTCCTTTATGTGCATTCCCAGCTTCTCCCGTTTAAATTTTTCTGTACTGTTCACCTCAGTTACTCCTTGTGGGTTTGAGTTCCACATTCCCAGCATTTTTAGACAAAGAAGATACACCTGTACATTATTGGTATAATCAGTGGCTATCTTGTGTGTATGGCCCCTACTTTTGTTCTCCCTAACAAGTCAGAAGCATCATCTCAAAATCCATGTGGTCAGACTCCTGGATTATTTTAAGGACCTCTGTCAGGTCACTACTCAACCTTTGCTTTTATTAAAGAGCACACCAGTCTCTCCAGTCCAATGCTTTTGCATTCCTGCATTAAGTTGGGAATGCACATCTGGAAATTGCACACTGCCAGCCTTTGACTTTCTGACCACTGCTTTCTTCTAAATAAATTCCTGGAACGTGAGCTTTTCTAGACAAGGCCAGCATTTGTTGCCTGTTCATTTCGAAAAGTAGAACATTTACATGCAAAGATGTTTACTGTATCAAAACTGTTCCGCAGAAAATTGTAGGATTCCTTTCAACTATCTTGGACTGGATCTGCTATGTTTGGCACGGAATCCCTCACTTCAAACTTACAATTAGGTAAAGTAGAATTGCCTCCATCAGGATAATGTTTTTTTTTGCGCACATCAGATGTTAAGCTAGCTGGCCTGTCTTTCTGACCTTTTTTGGAAAGGAATGGCATAGCACGGTTGTTTATCAAAGCCTTCCCTTGCTCATCAAACTTCCAAAAGGAACAATCCCTGATGACTCACTGACTTTCCCTAAACCCAGGCCTTGGGAGAATAGGTGAAATCACAGTTTCTCACTCTGCAACACATGGTATCACGGGCAGGTGGGTCCTTCTGTAAACTTTCCCGTTGCTTTAAACCTTTTTTAAAATTCATGAGTGGGATGTGGGTGTTGCTGGCTGGGCTAGCTTTTAATGTCCTTCAGAATGTGGTGGTGAACTGCCATCTTGAGCAACTGCAGTTCATGTGGTGTAGGTACTCCCACAGAACTGTTAGGGAGGGATTTTCTACATTTTAATCACTGAAAGAATGTTGATTTATTTCCAAGTTCGGATGGAGTGTGACTTGGAGGGGAACTTGCAGGGTGTAGAGTAGACAGTCATACAGCATGGAAATAGACCCTTCGGTCCAACCCGTCCACGCCAATCAGACATCCTAATCTGACCTAATCCAGTTTGCCAGCATTTGGCCTAAATCCCTCTAAACCCTTCCTATTCATCTGCCCATCCAGATGCCTTTTAAATGTTTTAATTGTACCTGCCTCCACCACTTCCTCTGGCAGCCCATTCCACACATGCACCACCCTCTGCATGAAAACATTACCCCTTAGGTACAACACAGTGAGCGGAGCTGGAGGAACACAGCAGGTTAGGCAGCATAAGAGGCATAGGAAAGTTGATGTTTTGGGTTGGGACCCTTCAGAACTGTTGAGGGGGAAGGAAGTTGGGAAATAAATAGACAGAGGAGGGGTGGTGCTAGGGAAAGGTGGATGGGATGGTGATAGGCAGATGGGATGGTGATAGGTTGATTCAGGTAGGGTGTGGTAGGGATTGGTCAGTGGAAAGGGTGAAGCAGATAAGTGGGAGAGAAGATGGACAGGTTGTGTCAGGTCAAGGAGGCGGAGATGAAAGGGAGTGTTGGACGCAGGATGAGGCCAGGGGTGGGGAGATTTTAAAACTGGTAGAATCCATGTTTAGACCATTGGGCTGTAGGCTCCCAAGGCGGAATATGAGATGCTGCTCCTCCAGTTTGCATGTGGCATCATTGTGACACTGGAGGAGGCTCAGGATGGATATGTCACCCAGGGAGTGGGAGGGGGAGTTAAAATGATTAGTAACTGGAAGGTGTTGTCGATTATTGCAGACAGAGCACAGATGCTCCACGAAACGAGTTTGCGTTTCCTCTCACCGATTTGGAGGAAGCCACATCGGGAGCAACGGATACAGTAGACCAGGTTGGAGGATGTCCAGATGAATCCCTGTCAGAGAATGGACAGTTTGCTTTGGGCCTCTATCTGCATGATACATATGAATTAGGAGCAGGAGAATGCCACACAGCCCCTCAAGCCTGCTCTGTCATTCAATAAGTTCATGTCTGATCTGACCGTAACTTCATGTCCATGTTCCCACCAGCTCCTGATAACCTTTCACTCTGTCACTTAGCAAGAACCTACCCACCACAGCCTTAAAAATACTCCGAGGCTCTGCTTCCACTGCCTTTGGAGTAAGAGAGTTCCAAAGACTTTCGACCTTCAGTGAAAAAGAAATTTGCCACCTCTCTGTTTAAAGGGGTAGGCCCTGATTCTTAAACAGTGAATCGCAGCTCTAGATTCTCCCACAAGTGGAAACCTTCTCTCCACAGAAATGTGTCCAGAACCTTTGGGATCTTAATGCTTCAATCAAGTCACCTTCTACTCTTCGATCCTCCAGTGGAAACAATCTTGACCAGTCCAACTGTTCCAAGTATTAGTCAAGTCAACCTTCTGGACAACTGTGTTTTAAAGAACGTTACATTTCACTGAGTAATTATGTATATTTTGGATGCTAGACCTTTTAGAGGACTTAATTTTTAAAATATATGTTTATAGTCTAAAATTGTGTCTTGGTGTTTAATATTCAGTGTTTGTTTTTATTTCTTTCTTTCCCAGATTTTTGGCATCTGCCTATCTCAGAACCTGGTCAGTGATATTGAAGCAGTCAGGGCGAGCTGGTGATTGACAGCCCATTAAAGAGTGGACACAGCTTGGCATGTGGATGAGAAAAGTCAGCAGCACTCTGAATGTTACTTGCACGCTGGGTCATACAGTGGTCCAGGAAAAGGGTGGGGAGAGAGGCACGTGATGGTTTGAGAAATGGTTGTTTCCCTCCCTCCTAACCACCCACCCTGACTCCCAACACACTACCCCCCCCTTCCCTCGCCACCTCCAGAAACTATGACTGCGTTGTGAGGTATCCTTGCTGTCGCTGTCAAATGCTCAGAGGAGATTTGAAACAGAGCATCTTCAGAGATGTCCTGGCTGACCGTGTCCTTTCTGCCAGACAGTTCTACACCCATGGCCTTGACGTTGAACACAGTAGATAGCCAAAGACACCAGCGTGTTGGAGAGAACTGTCCCTGTATTTGGAAGCACAGTGGGAAAGGAATCCTCTCTTCCCCTCACCCTGCACAGCGCCAACCTCAGGCCATCTGCCCCAGTAACATTTTAAAAGTGACACTGATCATTGAATTTGCAGTGAAGAAGGACACCATTCGGCCAGTGCACGCTCATTCCTGACCGAGGTCGTCTGCACTCCCCATTTTCCTGCACCTTCTCCACGCCTGGTTTTACTTTGTCCCGCCTCCCAGATGAAAACTTTACAATACCTTCAAATACAAGATGGAAAGAGGGGTAACAGCTCAAGTGAAGGACATTAACAGAATGATTTAGTTAAATTTTACATGCCTGTTACTTGGGACAGTAATTTGATTTTGTTTTTGTGAAGTTCTTTGCCAAATATATATGTTTGCTTTTTCATTGAGAGAGAAAGGGACCATGTGCTTTGTCTAACAATGTTTAGTGATATTTTCCTTCTGGAAGCTTCCTTTCTTTTCAAGAGGGAGGTGTCTGCCCTTCATGTAAATAAATGAAACATTGGAGTTATAGCATTATACTTTGAAAAGAGTGTCTTCAGTTAAATAGGTTTTTGTGGACGAACAAAATAATGTAACAAGGCAGTGTTATTCCTGGACATGTTTAAGATTACTTTGTTCATGGAAAACCCTCTTGTAACATACAAAGAGAATTGGCCATCCAAAGACATTCATACAAATGTTGCATTTTTGTGAAACAAGTAGACCATATGACTCACCCACTTGCTGTTATGATTTCCTTTTATATTGCAGTATAGTCCAAGGTGAACAAAAGCAAGGACCAGAACTGGAGTGGTTTGACAAGAGTGGGCCCTCCGAATGATAAATATTCAGTATTACTTAGTCCTAAGCCTGCCATTTTCCTCTGTATTTTTGTTCATACTGCTCAAGTCCAGCTTCTGTACCAGTGTAGGATTTGATGATTAATGTTTAATCAGCTGCCTTCCCTCTGCACATCTTTGCATGATAACCTGCTGGAGTCTCTCGCTGAGATAACGACGAGTGGGTGGCCGCTGTATGTTAAGAGTATTATGTATTCACCCAAGTTACGCTGTGGACTGACCTTATTTGTGAATTAAACTGTAGTGAGAGCCACAGCAGGTGACGATGCTGTTTCATTGGAATGACGCTGCATTGGTTTGTGGATAGTGGTAATCCACTTTTAAATAAAATAAACACTTTTATACATTGACAGTTGTGTACTTGCAAAATCCAGACTTTTCCACCCACTGTTGGAGTGCCATCATTTATTTCCTGTGCCACATCCTCAAAGACATCATAGCTGGAAACTAGAGAACATACTAATATAAGCCTGTTGGGAGTGAGTAAAAAAAAAAAATTACACTTTTTTTGGCTTTAATGCGAACTTTGGACATAAATTTACTTCAGCAGATTTATTTATTTCCCCACAACTGGCACACTTTTGAAGACAGATGGATTAACACTCAAGAATTGCTTGCAGAAAATTCAGAGTCTGACACAGAATTTTAATATGAGAGCAAAATACTGCGGATTCTGGAAAGCTGAAACAGAAAATTCTGAAGGTACCTGGCCATCGTTGTATAGAGAGAAAGGGTGTTAATGTTTCCAGATCGATGACCTTTCATCTTCCTTATGAAAGATCTCTCCCCTGCTGTGTATTTTCACCATTCTCTATATTTATAGGTGAAGGTTAATGGTCACTTCCAAACATTTCTCCACAGTTAACAACTTTAACGGAGTTGTTCCTGAAGTTGTCAGGACACTTCGCAAACTCCGAGGAAAGAAAGTCATAGAGATTGAACTTTTTATTTTGTACTTCATCATTTTCTTTGGCTAATAAAAATATTGTCAGTGGAAAAATGTCTGCTTGACCAGCTAAAGTTCATCCAGTAAGATGAAGACGACTCATCATTCCAAAGGAAAGTGGAGCAACTGTAAAGGACACAAGTGTCAGAAGGTCAATATCTCAGGCTACCCACACTCTCCATCATCCTCGCCTCCCACCCCCCGCCAAATGCACACTGTGCCTTCAGCTTATATACCACCCTTCCCTAACTACTAGCAATTCTGAAGAAGGGTCACTGAACTCAAAATGTTAACTGTTTTTCTCACTCCACAGAGTTTCTCCAGCATTTTTTCCTGGTGTTCTAGCATTGTTGGGGGTGGTGGGGTTGGAATGGGGGAGCAGTTTGGATGACCAAACCTCCTTGAATCAGCCCAAGGCAAGTCTAATTGAGGAGGAACCTCTGGTTCTGATCTCAGCAGATGGTACAATTGGACAAGTCAGATCACAGACTGAAACCTGCTGGATAGATCATACATTTCATTTTTTTTTTGTTTTTGTTTGTTAGCTAAAGAGCAGTTAGCCATTCAAACATTCATGAGGCTGCAGATGTTCTTTAACCGTGGAACGTAAGTTCATTACAGTGGGAGGGTGGAGGTATGGGAGAAAAAAAACAATGAAGCCAAATATGTATTATAGTTAAAGATCTTGACCCAAACATTTAAACAAAGCTTTGACCTTCTTCCCCATACTATTCATTGTGGAAACTGAAGCCCAGAGAAGTTATGCTCCTATCTTGACTTAACATTTCTACCTAATTAACTCCTTCCAGTTGCTGGCTTGTAAACTGTTGAGATACTTTTACAATTCATCCCAGCTTTGTATATAAATCCTTCACAATTCCAATGGCCTACGTTTTTTAAAATATAATTCTCCTAACCTAAGGATTTCTCTCCCAAACCTTCCTGGTTTGAACAGTTCGCAAACCAGAAAAAAAGCACTTTTGTAATGGAGACCATAAGGACTGCAGATGCTGAAAGCCACAGTATAGGTGTGAGGCCTGAAGCATTGACTTTCCTGCTCCTCTGATGCTGTTTGACCTGCTGTGCTTTTCCAGCCTCACACCTATAGACACTTTTGCAATGTTTGATTTCTTCTGAATTGAACTGTGCGAGGAGAGAAGCTGAAACTTGTTTCTGAATGTTCGATTTAAGTTTTGAGTTCTCTGCTCCGAAGTACAAACAAAACTAATAGCTTAATATGTGTACATTGCTAGTCATGAAGCCAAAGTATACATGTTTTGTTCCATTAACACACCAGGGCTTCTCCTGAGATCTTGATTGTGGTCACGTTGTTTCTTGGAACTTACTGCATTTAGATAACTAATCCAGAATAATTTTCTGAAGAAGGGTCTAGGCCCGAAACGTCAGCCTTCCTGCTGCTCTGATGCTGCTTGGCCTGCTGTGTTCATCCAGCTCTACACCTTGTTATCTCCGAATAATTTGTTGATCTTTTTTTTTAAACAAAAGACACCCTAATTATCACAAACCTGCATCCATATGCCCCTCAGTTTCAAACAATCCAAATTCTAACGCTTATAATACATTTTGCATTCTTGTAATCCCATTAAAGAGACCAATGTAGTTCAGTTTTGAGAAAGGGCACCTTTTACCTTGTGTTGGGATGGCTCAGGATGTACACCAATGGCTAAATGAATGTAATTAATTGCCAGCTTCTCCAGTACTCTGTCTACTGACTTATCTGCCTAAGAAAACTTTCCTTTTTAAACAAGCAAAACTTTTAACAGGGTCTCTTCCCTAGGGGCTACTGGACTGATACTGTGGCTAGCCTCTAATAATAGAACCCCAGCTTTGAGTCAGAACTTGTGTGGCACACAATAATCTCAGCTCATGATGCTCTGATGACAGAATGCTAAATTGTTATTCTTTTGGAATAAAGACTGACCTAAAGCCCCATCTGCCCCTCAAGTGCGCAATTGGACCTTGAATATTTTGAAGAAGTTTATGGAAGTTTTCCCTCCACATGAAGTCAGATTATTGGATCATTATCACGGTGTTGGTGGGAGCTTGCTGTGCACACCTGTCCTGTTTCTTATGTTACAACAGTGATTACACTTTGAAACAAAGGATGATGCACTTTGAGACACGCAGAGATTATGGAAGGGGCTGTAACAATTGAAAGCTACACTTTTTTCATGATCTCACATGCAGTAACTTTTTTTAATGGAGAATGTGTGTTAGAGGGCAGGAAAATTGATGAGGTTGTTTCCACTTTGTCACAATATTAATCACTTCTGGAAAAAAATGGGGGATCAGAGGTCTGGGTGAGAAATGATGGCCTTCAAAATCAAACAGCCTGCTACCGGTTCTGAGGAAGGGTTGCTTGACCTGAGATGTTAACTCAGATTTCTCTGCACAGATGCTGCCAGACCTGCTGCGTTTTTCCAGCAATTTCCGTTTTTTGTTTGATTTACAGTTGCTGTAGTTCTTTCACTTTTTTTACTGATTATACTCCAAAGTGATTCAGTTACCTCTGAGACAGGATTGCCTTTTTTTTTATCAACAACGAAACATTTGTTTGCATTTTTATAAAGCATTTTTACATAGGAGTGATGGTAAACTCAATTTGACTGTGATGCAGATATTGTGGTTGACAAAGTTTGATCAGAATGGTAGGATTTTTAAAACCTGCTACAGGAGGAAAGAGACAGAGAGAGATTTAGAAATTGAATCCCAGAGCTGAGGCTCTATGTAGGTGAAGGTGCTGAAGTCAATATGGAGTGACTAAAATCTAACCGTAACTCTTAAGTAGGAAATCAAACACCACCGTTCTGCCCATCATCACAAATACGTAAGTGACTATTTTAATCACTAGGATAGTTAATTTGTCTGACTTTGACCATTATATGAAATGAAAGAAACTCATGCCAGGGTCTCATCAATAAACAAGAAACAAAAATTATGAAAAGATTTTCTTTATCAAAAGCAAAAATGGATTATTAACCACCAATGTGCAAACTTATGCTATGCCCTCTTTAAATCAAGCACGCAGACACTTATTCACAACTCAGATGGACAGGACATATTGTAGGTGGATAACTTAGGCACAAATAGGGGGCATGGTGGCTCAGTGGTTATCACTTCTGCTTCACAGCACCAGGGACCCAGGTTTGATCCCACCCTTGGGTGACTGTGAGGAGTTTACACATTCTCCCTGTTTCTGGATGGGTGTATGAATAGGAAAGGTTTAAGAGGGATATGGGCCAAATGCTGGCAAATGGGATTGGGCTAATTTAGAATATCTGGTCAGCAATGGACAAGTTGGACTTCGATGACTCTATAATGTCTCTCTTTTTGTTAGGTAGAGCTTTTTACTCTCCATGTTTAAGATTAAACACAAGTTTGCTCAGCTGCACCACCAAGTGGCCATTTTGACACGGTCTTGTGTGTAATCTCAACACTGAAAACTGGACTTGTAGAAAGCAAACCCTAGAAAAAGCTAAGACAACAAGGTGCAGAGCTGGATGAAC